ACACACACACACACACACACACACACACACACACACACACACACACAAGGATGCTCTGCCAAGGTGTTTTCCTGAGCGCCTTACACAGTCTATGTGCCCTAGCGGCCGATGTCTGTGACAGTTTCTCTGCATCCATGCCAGCAGTCAGCACTTTCACAGTTTTTTATCTTAGCCATTTTCATAGCCTACAGTAAAAGTTCATGTGCCAAAGGAGTGGTCTCTAAGTGGTGGATCCAATTAACAAGAGGTGGCTGTGTCGTGAGGGCTCTTACCTAAGTAGTGGTCATCATTTGATGGCAATACGGGGAAATGAAAAGCTTCTGGAGATGGGACCTCGTTGGAGGAAGCAGTCATGGGTCTTCCCTTGAGTGGCATATGCTGCTCCCGGCTCTTCTTTCTCTCAGCTTTCGGACCAACACAAGGGATAAAACTTTCTCCACAATGGTCGATTCACCCCAGCTCATACACAGCAGAGGAGGGGGCCAGGCTGAATCCTTTACAGCTGCCGCCAGTTCTTTCCTCGGGCCATGTCACAACCATGAAAACTCTGACTGACATATATATATATATCAGTCTATTATATCACACACACACACACACACACACACACACACACACACACACACACACCACACCCTCATCTTCATTTGTATTTTCCTATTGGGGTTATGCACAGTATCTTTAATGAAGTGTCTCTCTTCATGACTTTTATCATATTTTAATTAGTTTTTTAAAACAGTTTAGTTTTGTTTTGCTTTTATGTTTCATGTGGGAACACAAAAACTCATGCTAAGAGTTCTACCAATGAACTACATCCCACACCCCAAGTGCTGAATTTTGACAATTCTTTTTTGTTCATTTGTTTGGTTGGTTTTGTTTCTTACAAGACAGGGTCTCTCTGTGTAGCTGTGGCTGTCCTGTAACCCTGTAGACTAGGCTGGCCTTGAACTCACAGAGATCCACCTGCTTCTGCCTGTGCAAAGGTGTGCACTATCTGGTTGACAATTCTTTACATATCCTAAACACTAGTCCACAGTGAGATAAATGTTTTCAAGTTATTTTCCCATCTGTAGCCTCTACTAATTCCTTAATAAAGACTTTCATATAGTAAACTTTTAAACTTGGATGGACTAATTTTTTGTAGCATTTTTTTCCTGTTATTGATGGTGTTTTACATGTCTGATAGGATTTACTTTGTGACAGTCTGAATCTGAAAAGGGTAAGGGCTTGCCACTGGGATAAATGGGAAAGAATATTCAGGCTAACATCTGTAAAACTGATGAGGATGCAGGTGAACTTCAAATGTGAGAACAACAGAACACTTGGATAATTCTACCTTCAACAACACTAACCAAACAGTCTCTAGTCCCCGGAAGAGGATGAGTGCAGATGGGGTAACTGCTCTGTGCTTACAATCTGCAATGTTTGAAAGGAACGGATAGAAAACATTTCTTTAAAATGAAGTTCTCACTAGTACCAACTGCTCTGAGAAATGTGTGACCCTAGACTCCAGAAATGGGCTTTGGGAAACATCTTCCTACTGGAACGGTATGGAAGCAATAAATCAAGGTGAAGGATATAGCAAGGAGAGGGACCGTTCCTTTACTTGACAGCATTTTTATAGAATGTCCTACACAAAGGAATTTCTCAGCTAATTGGTGAAGTTTAGAGTGCCAAAACCCTTTTTCTTTCAACCGCAGTGGAGAGAGTTCTGCAGCATTGTTAATCATCGTCAGTGGTTTAAGGTGTGGTACAGGCCTCCAGGCGTGACCAGTTCACGGGACTCCTGCCCCTGCGCCACACTCACCCCTGCGCGCCACACCCACCCCTGCGCGCCACACCCCACTGCGCGCCACACCCCACTGCGCCACCAGCTGGCCTCCATCTCAGTCTTCTGGATGTCCACACTGGCTACTGGACATTCTGCTCTCAGTTTTCACAGCTGCTGGGGTGCCTGCCCTTCCCTAGGCTCCCTCTCCATCTGTACAGGTTTGTGAAGCTCCATAACCTAGTTAGTAACCATCAGTGTTAGTTAAGAGTAGTAAGCTCTGGCTGGAGACATGACTCAATGGTTAAGAGCACTGGCTGCTCTTCCAAGGGACCCACGTTCGATTCCCAGCACCCACACGGCAGCTAATGATCATCTCAAATTCCAGTCCCAGTGAACTCAACACCCACTTCCGACCTCTGCAGGCATCAGATACACATATGGTGTCCAGGTATACATACATGCAAGCAAAACATTCATATATGTGAAAAGAAATTTTAAAATCAAAACCAAAGCAAAACAAGTAAGGAGCTCTGAGCTGGGACTCGATTGCTCAGCTGTGGGTGAACCTCAGCACGAGCAGCTGTGTGGTCCCCACTTCTGTGCTACTGGAGACGCCTAACCTTCCCTTCCCACAGTGAAATGGGTTCGAGTCCATCTGCTCAGATGACATTTCCTAACCTCTTTTGTGGCTGGGTGTGGTTGTGGCAATGTTTTGCTGCAGAGCATGGAACAGCAGCTTCCTCTGGCCCCTGTCCCATCCACCTACTCAATTTCTCCTAATTGCAACTTGTTTGCGATGGGATCTCGTTTAATTCCTTCCCTGACTGACTTAAAACTCCAAAAATCAAGCAAGCCTCCTGCCTCAGCCTGGCCTACAGAACTAGCACACCCAGCTCCAGGAGTTTAAAGAGTCTGAGTCACCCTAGAC